CAGAAAACCTGGTGAATTGTGCAGCGCTCTGTTATATCCATTATTTAGGTGAATGAAAGTTAAATATTAATTAAAGTGTAAACCTTAGATTCTAATGTTTGGATCCATTCTGCCCTCGGCTTCCCTTATCCCAACATCTGTAATCGCCTGACTCCAGCTGTTTATAATCCTTAAACACACTGTTGGGAATTAAAATCCCTTGCCTCTTATCTCGTCGTGTGTTTGAGCAAACAGCTTTTTACACCCAAAGCACGAGGAGGGCCCCACAGCTGCAGCCGATAACAAACTACAAAGATAAATGCAGAATTTGTGGTTCATCAACTATGAACCTAATCAGTTGATCCAGCTCTCGCCGCGTGGAACGATTCATCAAATCAGGAAATGTTTCTCTGGTGTTTTCTCAGATCTTATGGAGGTTGCGAATGCTGTAAAGGCTGTTATAATGTCGTTGGTGCCCAGAGCTCATTTTCACTGCCATTACAAGTCCATCAGAGTGGAGCAGCGGCCTGACGAAGACTGTGCAGACGATTGATCGGAGCAATAATGGAGAGAGAGCAGAGAGGTCACACATGCGCCGCTGCCTTTTACAAGATTCTCTCTGCCAAAGTGAGAGGCAGTGATAAGCTGCTTAGACATGCTAAAAGTAACGCTATATACACCCGAAGAGATTTCAAGACGTGTTTCTCTAAACTTCGGGCATCGGCTGTACATTCTGAAATGGAACGTCATGCTCGATCTACCAGGAAATTGCGCCCGCTGCTGCGCTCTGCTTGTACACCAAAGTCTGAAATAAATCAGTATTTTTTTCACTTTGTACTCTGTATACAGGCCTTCTCCATATACCTTCATTTGTCACTGTTACGATAATGGTGATGGATTGTTCTCACTAAAAAGCCTTGGAAATAATACGACCTATGTTGCCAATTATGCAAATATCCAGCATGTGCCCATAGACAATAGCCTTTTCCTCAAAACTATAATGAAATAAACCTCTCCCTCAAGCTCTTGCCTATTTATTCCCCTCAAAGCACCACCCATTGTTTCAAGAAAAAAAAGTAGATTTTCTCCCCTACCTAAGTCTAAACTAATCAAAGTGTATCAGAGAAAATCAGGCAGGCAGCAGCACAAACGGCCTCTGTAATTGGCCTGTTTTGCATTTAATCTCGGGGGATGTTTTATTCACACGCCTCCCTTATAAAGCCCTAAATGGTTTCAATTCTAAACTGATTGCTCCTCAAATACATAGAGAAGGAGAGAGTGCTCCATGTCTCCTGTGGGGAAGAGCTAAAGCACTTTTTTTGCTAAACTGGATTACAGACCAAGACAGAGCTGGACTGTGGCTTCATAATGACTGGATGTGGATCTGAGGAAGATGATGTCATGTTGATTGGGTCTGGAGAGATCTGTGTGTTTTTGTCACCAAGCTACGAACAATATTTCTCGAAGACGTACAGTCGCTCAAATTTAGACATTTACTTACTGACAGTTTAAGTAAATGTTTTGCTAATTGGGGGAAAAAAGTGTGTCTGATGTATTCTGTGTCACATAAACTCAACCCACTCCATAATATTTTATCTAATTTCAATTAATTTCAAGTGCCAGCTACCCTTCCATTTTCTTTTGCTATATCCGTTGCCGGGTCACGGTGGCAGCAGTCTGAGCATCTTGACAGTCCTTCGAGTTCATATGAAGACCAACAAGACACAAGATCTGAAGGCTCAATTTGCTTCTAAAAGAAATATCTATTTGCTTTAAAAAATACTGTTATTCAATATCGTTTATGCTAATGTCACTTGACAAGGAGCGTCACATCATCTCGAAATAAGACAGTTTTCTTACATGCAAAGAGCTCCTATCATTTATTTTTTCCCTGACGGCTCATATTTACGGTAAGAGATATTTATTTTATTCCAGATACAGTTTTATCATTGTCAAAAATCCTCTGAACAGCACCAAAACAAACAAGATACTGCCATATTTAGTTTGACCTTCTTCACAATATACTTTCATTATTGTGATATTTCAATTAAATCTGCCCAGTTAATCTGAGGATTCATCTTGTGCACACACTCGCTATCAATAGATATGTGTTATTTGTGTTTCTATATTTTAGAAGGAGCCCGTACTTCAGAATGTACTGTATTTGATGACTTAATACAATAAAAGAATTGACAAATACCTTGAAACCATCGAGTTGTAAATTACCTCCCAGTGCATTTCCTCCCAGTGTTGTGGGGCCAGACCAGACTCAAAGACACATGGTAGTACTTTTACTTTTTTATAGCTTTCAGATAATTTAGTAGTGTTTGGTATTTGGTTGCCTGGGTGCGGTTGGCTTGTTTTTTACACTGAAGACTGGGTTGTCATCGTTGGGTTCCAGTTAAACCAGTATGAGGTTAGAAAGGTTTCACCCACTGCTTTTTCCACATTTACTGAATGAAGAAGGTTCCGAGTTGGTTGGAAAGCAGCTGGAAATGGGAAATGGGGAAATTGACGACCTACTAACTGCGCCCTGAAGCTGAATGACCTTTTACCGGTTTGATTTTTCTTTGTGAAGTAGAATGAGATGGATTAATTAAATCGCCTAAATGAAAACCAATTGGAGTCGAGACATGTCGCTGGGAGAGACAAACAAAGTTATAGTCCACGTTCCCCCTAAACTCGGTTATCTGGTTGTAATGAAGCAAAATGGAAACATGTCTTTCAATGATTCCCTCGCTACAACTTTTTCAATCAAAAAGTGGATCAACTGTCAATGCTGACTTAGTTAAAGATGGGGTACCTAACTTTTTTGTCATACATTTTAAATAGATAAGTTGTTGCAATAGAAAGATGATGTTAACAAATCAGACCACAGAAGTCGTTATTAGAAAACATTTATTGTTAGCATAGTTACTCACTTTTGTCTCTTTGGGCTGAGCAAGAGTGGTCCTCCCTCAAAAATACAGGCATGTGAAAACTAGTGATGGTGCCAACGTATTTGATCACAATAGGAATTAGATGGATTTTATAACAATTTTGTGTTTTGAAATGTAGATCCCCTAGCTTTAAATTTCCCACCGCTATTTACGGAGATTTTGAAATTGTCAGCAACATCTCCATCTTCACATATCACTGTATTATTATTGTTGTGATGTTATTTAGAAATCAGCAAAGAGTAACCTATAGTGGATTTCAATATGGACATTAGAATCTAGATCGGATTGAGATTGAAAAGCAGCTTGTGTTTTAATATTTGCTTTTGTATTTAACATGAATAGCCCGGTCATACACAAGAGTCAGAGTTGATTCTTATGGCACTAACATGTCACGGATGTACTTGGGTGGGAGGCCATGGGGAGACTTGTATATGAACAGAGCTGTCTATTCTAAGTCTATTCTCTTATCCACAGGTACAGTAAGTAGTGCAGCAATCTGAGAATGTGATCGTATAATTCCTGGTTCTAGTCCGGACTCGAGCTGCAGCGTTTTGAATGTACTGCAGCTGTTTTCCAGGTCGTTTGGAGAGACCAGAGAGCAGCCGTTACAGTAGTCCAACTTACTGGAGACAAATGCATGGATAAGAATCTCCAAGTCTCCTCTGGGCACTGTATTTTTGATTCTGGCAATGATTTTCAAATGGTAAAAAGCTTTGGATGTTACTTATTTGATGTGTCTTGAATCCATTACTACTCCTAGATTTCTGACACGATTTGAAGGTTTCAGGGAGAGAGACTGGAGATGACAGATAAACGGTTTCTCTCTTTGTTTCTGCACCACCAAAGACAATCCTTTCGTATGCTGCTCCCCTAACAACTCCACATCCTCCCCGACTCTGTAATTGTCATTCCGCTCACCTCTGGATTTAATCTGCACCATTTGCACAGCGTGGGTCATGGTCGGCCTGATTTTGTTTTATCCGCCATCTCTAAATATTCCATTCCAGCAGTGTCTCGGTAGCATCCTCTGACATGATGCAGATAATACACAAGCTTCCACTCTCCAGCAGTCCTCCTCTGCATCATATGCTTTTGACCCTATGTGAAGCACTGTTGAGGGCCCACCGTGGCGTAGACTTGTATAAATAATGTAAAAGAAAAACATTGTGATCGGATTGAGGTGGGCACGGCCGAGGCTAATGGCACAGACGGCTGCTGAGTTTTTCATGTATTGATTTTCTATATTCCGCTCAGCTCAGATTTTTCCATTTCTGGTGCATTTGTGGGCTTTGCGTAATTCTGGTTGCAGCTTTCCATAAGATCAGGGCAGGGGCAGAGTAAATGTACTTTAGCAATTAGTGAAGAGTGCCCACAGAGATTTAGTGAGACTTCTCCATGAATATACAAAACAGACAAAATATTGTTTAAAGTCATTTTATGTCTCCTAGGGAAATTACTGGAAGTGCCTTTGAAGTGTTATGAGATATTGATATTTTAAGCCTGGCGAATAACAGAAGGACATTCTAGGCTAGGCAAGGCAAGTTAGCCTAGAATGTTGTATAGCACAATTCATACACAAGGCAACTCATAGTGCTAAACAAAATAAGAATAATTAAGAGTAAGCTTACGTGTGCCTTGACTTTACATTAATGTCAGTTGTTGGTAACTAAAAATTTCTCTTTTCTCATTAGTCTGTAAAAAATAACGCTGGGGCACCAAACTTTTGAATTAAATAATACATTGTGTCTACCCCAAAAGAAAGAATCCTGAAATCAGACCATAAAATGTTGTTTTCATCTTTTTACAAAACACTCAGCCAATCAGAGTCCTCTCTTTTTCACTTTTCCAGAAGCAAAAAATACATGTATTCTTAGGTATCCCAGCTTTAATGTTGTCTTTCCCCAGAATTTAAACAAAAGATTTACAAACATAGATTATTCCCCAATCTTGTGCCTGTGCTGTCATTTCAGCATCATCGTTTTATGTCAGAACAAAAAATGTCATCAAACATTATGACTGCATTCACTTTCAAACCGTTTCCTTATTTCTTGCCGTTAATGTTTTATTTGCTTTTTTTTCCAGAGAAAGAACCTGCACCTGCTGCTAAACGTCTCCCTCTTGGCTCTGAGCGGCGTCCTGTTGCTGGCCGGCCGCTTCTATTGGATGGGCAACAAACCTCCAAACTTCTCCAACTCTGACAATCCGGCCGCCGACTCCCCCTCTCTGCTCACCCGCTCCCTCACCTTCTTCCACCTGCCCGCCGTCAACTTCTGGCTGCTCCTCTGCCCTCACACGCTCAGCTTCGACTGGTCCATGGACGCCTTGCCTTTAATACGAGGCTTTTCCGACTGGAGGAACCTGCAGACGGCGTTCTTCTACTGCGGATTATCGGCGCTGGCTTGGTTCGGGTTGTTTAAGCACAAAGCGTCAAAAGTCAAAGACATGAATGGGAAAGCTCACGTTTATACAAATGGAAGTAACGGTAGCAGTAATGGACATAGCAACCACTGCAATCACGAACACACAAACGCTCATACAAACAACAATGTTAGTGAGGAGAACGGTACGAAGAAGCATTATGAAAACAGGACTGCGCTGCCCACGACAGAGAATGTAGTGGTGTTTTCCTTAGGCCTCATGGCGATCTCTTTCCTCCCTGCCACAAACCTTTTCTTCTACGTGGGCTTTGTGATCGCGGAGAGGGTCCTGTACATCCCGAGTATGGGCTTTTGTCTGCTGCTGGCCGTGGCCGTGAGGTCTCTGTACGTCCGGCTCAGACGCAGATCCTTCAGGACTGGGCTGGTCTACTGCAGCGCCGTACTGATTGTGCTGTTTGGAGCCAAGACGGTGCTGAGGAACAGGGACTGGCAGAACGAGGAGATGCTCTACAAGTCAGGGATCTATGTCAATCCTGCTAAAGGTAAGACCAATAACATGCCAATAACATGCCAAAATGTACAGGGGAAACTCGGACAATTAGAATATGGTTCAAACGTCAATTTACTTCTGTAATTCAATGTGATACTCATACAGACTGAGATGTTTGTTATGATATTAATATATTATATATTTGTCTCACAGCTGGTAAAAACGCAAATAAAACATCTTAGAAGCCATAATTATTAGAATGATAACAAAAAAGAGTGGACATATGCCCCTTGATTTTTTTTGGTCATGTTATAGTTGTTTTCTGATTGAAAGCCGACACAAAAATGTTGCCAAATTATATGAAATGAAATGTTTTTTTGTTTTTTTTTCAAAGGAAATTAAAGTTACTACTTACAGCTCGTTTAAAATTATAATTTATTGGCCATTGAAATTATATATATTTTGAAAGGATACAATACATACATCACTATTGTAGCAGTGATAGAGGAAATTATTACAGGTTCACATCATTGCAAAAGTACCAATATACAACTATTGCACATTTTGTCTTGTTACAACAACAAAATCAAGACTTTTTTTTTTTTTTTATTGTAGTGACAGGCAAGTTAATTTATTCCTTAAGTGAAATCAAGCGGATTGCATCGGTTTTGAATAACAATCACTGCACGATTATTATTATTGTTATTATTTTTAAACGGCAAATTGGGGATTACAAAACTATTCAGCCTCTTTTTCTCTTGATTGCAACCAATTATCTTTAGAGGTTTCCTGACGAATGGCCAAATGTTTACTATTAAGTAGAGTCCACCTCAGAGTCATCTAATCTCAGTGTGATTACAGAAGACTCACAGCAACAACATTAGAAACAATTTTAACTCAATCAACAAAACAAACAAAAAAGTGTTTCCCCCTGATATGCTGACTCGCCATGACGCCCTCTTAAGTCATTTACCCAGAAACAATCATTTAGCAATTTCGCATCAACAAACTGCTTGGAATGAAAAACAGAATCCAAGTCCGCTTTGATCCTCTGCCACTCTCTCCCTCTATAAATATATAGTATTCAAAAGGAAAAGCCGTTTCTAGATGTGTCCTATTCATAGTCAAGAGGAGCATGGGTGAAGTCAAATCCACAGACTCCTGCTGTGAAGGCTCATCTTATCCACAGCCCATTCAACCTTAATTTTTCTAGTTTTTTTTTGTTTGTCAATCAATACAGAAGCACGTATCTCCCACTCCAGCACAGTGTGACGTCTGCTGTGCCCCTATTTGCCCTTTGTTTCTTGGAGGAGCTTCTGAGCGGTGGCGTGGCTGCCGTCCTCGTGTGACTGGCACCGTCGGCGGGGGATTTCGTGTTCAATATTGTGTTAATTGAAGGGCACGGTCTACAGTGCAGCATGGGGCAGCGGGGACATGCGGTGTTGGATCCTTTCCATTTTCAGACATTCGGTCCGAGGTGAAGCATGACAGCTGTTTGTTTTGGCAGCCGTCGGTAGAGCTGCGATTCTAATTTATTGCAGCTTTCAACAGATGTGTCAAAATCTAAAGTGAGCATCATCACATCTGTTCTTGAGTTTGTTTTAGGAGCAGTTAATACATATGTTGGCCGTGTTTTTTTTTTTTAAACTACTTGGAGAGAAAATTTTGGATAGCCTCTTACTTCACAGCAAGGTTTCTTTCCGGGTGGAGTTTGCATGTTTCCCCCAATGTCTATGTTTTTGTGAGTACGACTGTGGTACAACGAATGAGATTAAGATCATATAGGTAAAGGTACAGGAGGATTTTCCCAAATTTTAGGAAAGAACCACCCACCTTCACTTTTTGAACAAAACTCTCTGGTCTTATTTGGCGAGCACATATCACCAGAATGATTGACAATTGGGAGGACCAATAGTCTTGATGATCCACCCGGAAGTAGATAGAAACTCCTCCTATACCTTTACGAGATCCTTTATTCGTCCCAAAGTGGGGAAATTTCAGTATTGCATCACTGGTTGCAGAACAGTAGGAAAGAGGAGCACACAACATAAAATAGATAAACAATAAATCTATCCTAAATTAAATACAATGAAATCTGAAAAAAGAAGCAATAAAAAAATGTCTAGTTTTAGCCTAATTAGGAAGAAAATCTACAACTTTAGCATAACGAAGAAGCAAGAATTAAGTACAACATGAAAATTAACCCACGGCTGCAATCCAGAGAGGTGTGTTCAAGCACTGTTCCAACCAAATGAATAGAATAACTGAATGAACAAGACATATACATATTTTCATTTCAAGAAAGTCATTGTCACTGTAACAAATCATTATCACTATTATTGTCAATAACAGCTCAACTAAGCAGGGACAACCTTAAGCTTATATTGTTTTTAAGTTTTAAATTTTCCTTCTGCAATGCAAAGTATGGCAAAAAGAAGTTGAGTGCTTGCATCTTAACATTATTGGTTTATTTTTTTATTATTTTGAAGATATTCTCTCTCATATGTATATAGTAAATGTCCATACACCTGTCAGCCGCTGTATAGTGGTTTGTTTTTTGCTGTTGGCAGACCTTTTTGAGAAATGTTGCTACAATACTCTCCCAGCACGACTCAATCCCTTCGCCTCACAATCCAGCAGCTGCTCGAGTTTTTCTTTGACCTTCATATTCAAGCAAACAAACCTCCTTTCACCTGCTGTTTTCTCTTACCAGTTTCTTGGAGCAGACACAAAAGAAACAACGCTGTTATCCTTTTGATTGACCTGTGCTTTGTGACCCGACAGCGTGGGGGAACCTGGGAAACGTGCTGAAGAGCCAGAGCAAGATGGCGGAGGCCGAGCTCGCCTACAGGAACGCACTGTATTACCGTAGCAACATGGCCGACATGCTCTACAACCTGTGAGTCCCATAACATCCCTTTTAACAACTCTTTTGCTATATTTGGAAGATTATCACAGTGGTCACTCATTGTTGCTGATTGTTTGAAGCCAGTGATTGATGTTTTCTACTTTCAAATTATAATGACAACAGAAACTAGTCATCTGACCCTGATTAGAAGTTTCCATTCTCAAGTTCCCAATATATTGAAAACTGGAGAACTAGAGTAATGTTCGGAAAATTACAGAATTTATCTCTACTGGTAATTTTATCAAAGCTTTGATATTTCTGTAGTGGTTCGTCCATGTTTAACGATACAGTTTAAAACATCTCAAACCTAAATGTTAATGCAATGTTTCTCCAGATATAAAAAAAAAAAATAATTGCCTTAATTTTATTGTTCTTTATGACAATGATGTTTAATCTAATAAGGTATTTGGGAAGATGTTTTTGTTTTTTCAATCTTTGACATTCTATCTGATATAAGGCAAGTCAAAGTGCTTCACAAGCGCGATTAAAAACACACATCAAAATGCTTTAAAAACGAACTTAATAAAAAAAGTAATACAAACACATCAATATACAAAAATGTCATATTAAAACACTGCAGCATAAAAGTATTGGGTTTGTATACACGGTCCTTCACCTAATCGGGTTTTTTTTTCTACTGTCTTTCACATGAGCTATTCTATCTATATCCAGCTTTTGCGGTTAAAACGCTGCTTCCATTTTTGCCAACATCTCAAAGAATCTGTGTTAGCGGTGAACTGGCTACACAAACATATGATAAGATAAACTTTATTGATCTCACAATGGAGAAATTTACAACAGGCAATAAACTGTGCATACGTGTGCGGCTGACCAAATATCAGCGCTCTCCTTACATTACATCAAATGGTACAAACCCTAATCTAAATAGTCTGCTTGCTCCCATTCCAATCCCATTTATTCTTTAAAAAAAGAATAGAATCAATTGTGTTTAGCCCCTGATGCCTGTTTCACTACAGAAGACCTGGACAAACACAGTAGAGCTTTCCCTTTGATGCCATTAAGTGGACATGGCCTCTGTGTCCTGTCTTTGTTATCGATGGTGCTCTGTTTAGCCCGAGGGGAACATTCACTCATTACACTTTCCTCTCATGTCTGCGGCCTGTTCAGATCTTTAACTTTAGTCCCTTTTAAACGGCGATCTCCTAAACTGCACATGTGTCTACGGTTTGCGTCTGTTCCAGGGGTTTGCTGCTGCAGGAGAGCAACAAGTTCTCGGAGGCGGTTCACTACTATAAACTGGCCATTGGGAGTCGGCCCACTCTGGCTTGTAAGTACAGCGCTCTGTCTCACGCTCGTCTGTGGTTTGGGCCGTGTCCAGGCAACTGTGCACTGTGCATCGGTTATGTCGCCACAAGCAGAGAAGTGGCAAAAGAGCATCGGGTTTAAAGACAAAATGAATTACAGGCTACTCGAGTAAAGCCTAAACACATCAATCAAACATGGGGGGGTGGTTAGTTGTATATCTTCTTAGTTCTCTACATGTTTGTCGTTCTGTTGATTCTTCCGTATTGTGCTGTAGATCTTGTCATTGTCCTATTATTTTGTTTTTAAGACAAAGGATGTTTTAGTGTTAGCAATGGACAAAACAAGTATATTCATTGACGTATACTTTGTATAATAGTTGCTTTGATAATCTGGAGTTTCCCCTGAGGTATCTTATTGGTAAATCAGACAGATCAATTTATCAGGATAAAAAAGAACACTAATCCACAGATGTTTTAGGCCCAAAATGCCCACAAACAGTTACTGAGCCAGAAGAGTTTAATTTTCAATGCAAGTCAATAGGAACCAGAGAGACTTAGAGCAAAACTTTGTCTATGAGCACATCCCTATATAGGGCTTTGAGCTAGCAGGTTAGCATTGTCCATTTATACACAGGCTATGTCTGAGTTCAAACTCGAATAATTAATTCTGTGAAGCTGCACAGTTGTTGAATCATTTCAGACATTAGTTTCTCTGAACTTTTCCTGTGTCTGCTTTCTATTCTAATTTCCCTTCTTTACAAATTGCTTTTCTTATCATTCAGTCTCCATAGCAACAGTGTTATTTTTCTGACTGAGAAGTAAAGATGGCCGCCTCTCTCACGGTGTCACCTGATCTCGCAGTAATGAGCTCCCCGCCGTTTCAGGCATCCGTCACTGACAGATAAACAGCGCTTCTGAAACGTCTCATCATTTCTTCTTTCGATTAATTAGCGTCCTAATCAAGATCGTGGTCGGACTAGAACATTTCCATTCAGCATGCAATTATCCCATCTGCCGGAGCCAATAACACACTTTAATGAATTAGCCTGAGAGGCGGCAAGGATGTGAGGGAGCATTTGATATTATGGTTTATTTTAGGCACTGTCCAGTCAAAATAAACCACGGATAAGGTTTATTGTGTTTAAAACATAAAATACCATCCAAAAAAGTACATTTTTCACAATGTTATAGTTTTTTCCCTTCTACTACTCAAAAGACACCAACACTGTTTTTCACATGCTTACTTGATCTGTGGTGGACCAAGGTCTTTGATGTGAAGTGCAAAACACTGATCCAGCTTAATTATGTCAGATACCGATCTTGATGCTTTGGCTTTCAATCTCTGCAGCCGATGCATCTGAAGAGACTAAAACCAGTATTGTAGAACAGAGCCTCTATTCTACTGAGTTCCACAAATGTTATGTAGAAGTAGAAAGCATTGTTTGAGATCAATATTTAGCTTTCAAGTGCACTAAAATGTAAATGGTTGCACAAGTGACATATAGATAATCACTATATAGCAGACAGAAGCATGGTATGTCTTCTTTAAGGTCATGAATATCTAATAGCCAAAATATGGACTAAGGACATTGATGATCCAAGACATTTATAGACATTGGTAATCTCACTTAAACTCATGTACAGATAGATTCTGTGTTTCTTATTATTGCAATTCCTGTGTTCTAATTGATTGATTCTCAATTCCTCCGGGACTACTACTGTTACATGAGGGCCATACAAGTGCATTTGAATTGCTTCTTGTGACACTGTCCTCTCACTCCTGTCGTCTCAATCAAGTTAATTTATTCCTTAAGCTAGACTGGATGTTTACAGGTGCAGCCTCTCTGAAAGTATTTACTCTATTGGCGTATTGATTTTTACTGTAGTCTCTCGTATGAAAAGTTTAACAAGCTTGTGAATCCTCCAACCGCATGCAAATAAAGGTCAAACCCAAAGCTTCCTAAAGGGCAAATTCTCCAGACTGTCTAATGTATCTTTTCTTCCACATTTATAATTCATGTTTGTTGCTCCCACAGCGGCGTACTTGAACACGGGCATTATCCTGATGAACCAGGGTCGAATGGATGAAGCCAAGCGGACATTCCTGACCTGCGCTGACATCCCAGATGAAAACCTCAAAGACCCCCACGCTCACAAAAGCTCAGTCACCAGCTGCCTCTACAACCTTGGCAAACTTCTTCACGAGCAAGGACACCAGGAGGTAACTGTCCACACTACAACTGAATGAAAATGTGACCTTTATAAGCAATTAAGCCCATATTGTATCACAACACAAAAGAAAACCGTTAATGAGTACACAGTATCAAAAGCTAGTTTAGCTATCACTACATTCTGCTCATTCTCCTCATTTTAACGTCACCACTGTTCAAAGAAAGTTTTGTTACCCAGTTTTATTTCAATAAATAGTCCATGTTGTTTGTCCCAACTTAAAAATGGTTTGAATGTGAAATAAATCTAAAATAATTACCCATAACTTTGACAACAATGACTGTAACATGTGATCATATACAAATATTTAGGTCTAAATATAGCCTGTTATAGTAAAACATGTGACAAAATGAGCTTTGGGAGAGCGCAACAAGCTTTAGACGGACTGCTTCCAAAAGTGAGAAAGTGTTTGTGATTATAATCCTAAAGCCGTTTGTTGCAAAAACCCCTCTCCTTCACGCTCCTTAAGACGAGGCACTTTTCCAACACTCATATTTAGCAACAACTATGGTGGCTAATCGAATCTAATCCAACAACCTGTCAGGGGAAAAGTGGTCTCCTTCCTCTGACTTTCTCCTCACAGATACTGGGGCCTCAGCTTGTTGACTCGTCTTTGGTCGTCTTAACAGCCGTGACGCTGTGACGATAGACCCTCTCTGTACACACCAGCCTCCTGTCGACCCCCAATTCTACGCTGCGTATTCAGTGTCGGGCCTGGCTGCTATTGGGAGGAAGATTGTTTTGACTTTAGCCTCACACTTCTCCCGTTTGTGTCATTCACAGGAGGCGCTCTCTGTGTTTAAAGAAGCAATACAGAAAATGCCAAGACAATTTGCACCTCAGAGCCTCTACAACATGATGGGTAAGACGGGCTTTTGTTGAACGGAAAAGCTCATTGCGATGTTATAGAAGAATCTGTCAGCCTTTATTTTCTTTTCGTGATAAGAAGAACCTGGATTTAAGGATTGCAGATGTGGAGCCAGCTGCTTTCACGCTCATTAGCAGCGCATTTGCTCTTCCCCCACCTCCCTGCTTGGATTCTGATCTTTCAAAACAACGTTGAGATGTTTTGTATCTGGACATAGAAGGCAATGCTTTACAAAAATATTTATTGAAAATGGGGACTTTCTGATTCAGTTCATGAAACAAAACTAAATTTAAAATGATGTCACTTCAAACTTTTGATTTAATATTGTCAGCCTTTAATAGAGGCCTATTCATGCCAAGCCATCTGACCCGGCCCGCAGCATTGTCCGATTACGATTGTATGGCAGAGAAAGTAAGGTAACACTGTAAAAAATCTTTTTGTGGTTGATAATAAGTGATAATAGATTTTATTTTAAACCTGCAGAACACAATTTCAAATCCCTTCACACTAGTACAGGTTTGAAAAGGGGTTGGATGGAGCAGTTATTTATTCCCAACCCCCTCTCACCCATTGAACACAATGATAGACAGAACACAATGCAATTAAGTAAGTAAGTAAGTAAGTAAGTTTTTATTTATATACCGCCTTTTCACTGCAGATCTGAGTCTCAAAGCGGTTTACAATTGTTAATTTTGGGCATTTGTCTCTCACTCCACACAGAGATGGGAGCAGGGTTGCCAGTACAGGAAGCGCATGCCAGATCTATTGGACATATTTTTAGTGGTAGGGGAAACCGGAGTACCCGGAGGAAACCTACGCAGACACGGGGAGAACATGCAAACTCCACTCAGAAAGGCCCTGGTCCGACCGGGATTCGAACCCAGGACCTTCTTGCTGAGAGGCGAGAGTGCTATCCACTCAGCCACCGTGCCGCTTAATTAAGCAACATACAGAAAACAACATTATGCAGTAAGTAAGTCACTAAACAATTTACAATTGCTCTGGGCATTTGTCGTCTCGCTCCACTCGCTGATGTGAGCAGGGTCGCCTGGAGGCGCATGCTGGACCTATCGTTCATGTTTTAGTGAAAAGGGAAACCTATACACAGACATGGATGAAAACTCAACACAGAAAAGCCCCGCCTGGAGCTGGAATTGAACCCAGGGCGCCACCCAATGCATACAGTAATGAACAATACCCTACCATAGTATGAGACACACAAAAGATCCCAGACACATGCACACTCACACAACAATGGCCCAAACTCTCTCGACTGACTGAAGTGTGTTCAAGCCATCCCAAAAAATCTGTCCTTTTTAGAGATATAGTTGATTATCCATCCTCCAATAGATTGGCAATCAGAATGAATGGGCGAGTGTATGTAAACTTTTGGTTGCAACTGGTTTATCTCGATAACATTCACTGGATGTATGTCTTACAATATGGAAATGGTTTCTTTAATAACAGTTTAATTTATCTTTTCCCGTAAATCACCTCTAGCTCTGTCACAGTTAATCCTCCTCTCTTTCTCCTCGTGCTCCTCTTCAGACACAGACCAAAGCCTTGTCAAAACAGACGATCGGTTCGGTAACTGCTCCCTGTTGCTCTGACTTGACACATTACCCAGAATGCTTCTCTCTGAGGGGCTCAGGGGCCTCTCTCTCTTCTCTGTGGAGGGTGTATGTAAATGTGAGATGATGTTGGTGCTAATCTCACCCAGCGCTCTGCAGTCAGTAAGACGACACCAGTGTTTTGCATTTCACATGAAGAGGTCCTGTCAAAACACTCTCAAAGATGAAATGCCGCGGAGCTTTAGTGGATCATCTTCACGATTTTCCCATGACAACATAATCCGATCTCTATAATCCTGTCACATTTAGGTAAAGTTTAAAAGTGAGTAAGGATTTAAAGTCACACACATATATAACATATCTGGTGGAGGGTATGCAATCTCATTCTACTCTACACAGATAAATGGTTTTAACTATTATGGAGAGGAGCATGTGTCTTCTCAGATGAAGGTTGGCAGTTTGAATTCCTAATCCCGTCATAGAAACGTCAGTAAGCATTGAGATTGACTGGTAAATTGGCAAACCAGTGTCCTTTGGCAAGACACTTCACTGACATCACCCCCAGTGTCTGTGTACACTGGTGTAAAAATGTTTATGAATGGGTGAGGGTTCCTTGATTCATTTACCCCACAGGAAACATTTGAAATCATCATGTCCGGAATTTTTTCTTATGTATTTCCTTAAAATTGGGTGGCACAGCGGCAGAGTGGTTAGCGCCATCACTTTTCAGCAAGTAGGTCCTGCATTCGAATCCCAGTCAGAACAAGGCCTTTCTGAGTAGACTTTGCGTGTTCTCCCCATGCCTGCATAGGTGGCCTCCGGGTGCTCTGTTTTCCCCTACCTCTAAAAACATGTACAATAATTTTATACATCTGAGATTACTGCTGATTGCCCCCCCCCCCCCCCCCCCCCCCTCTGGATTTGCAAATTTCTTGTCGCCTATATTGGAACTTCTCTTCACACTTAGCATAATAAAAATACTAAGCAATTGTGTGTCTATTTGTTTATGTGCATGTAAGTATGTATGTATATATGTAAAATGTAGGATTTTGTTTGCTAATAAATACTTGTACAATTGTCCCCTGTAACACTCACCCAACTCTCTCCCCTTGTCTGGGGCCAGGACTCCCTAGAAAAAGAAATTCTGAAATCTCAGTGTGCTGTATGGTTAAATAATGGTATTTGCAGTTTTTGTAAAATGTGTGTGTCCAATCCGTAAATGCTTTTAGGAAGTGATCACTGCTAATCCCTGTCATCCAGCTGATTGTGATCTGTGAGGGCTGAAACCTGGACTCTGTTACACACTGCAGAGGAATGACAACATCTGAGCCCTCCAAAGAGCCATAGAAGACGATCATATTAATCTTAATCTACTCTACTCCATGCAGGCCAATGTTGTTGAACCTGTGTAATCATTTAAGCATTTTTTTGGATGACTCTGGAGGAGAAATTAATGTTTTTTCAGGTGTTGAGTCAGCACTGGAAAGATTCACTGTGTGCGTAAAAGCCGTATAATTACATTTGTGTCTTGGATCTGTGATAAAACGGTACTGTCTATTGCTTTACTGGACTCTCTGGTTATTCCACGGGGGACGCTGCTAAAGTCAGAGCTGTGCAGTGGTGGGAGCTGACATGTGACCTCTGTCCACAGGGGAGGCTTACATGCGGCTGAGCAAACTGACCGAAGCTGAGCACTGGTACAGAGAGTCTCTAAGGGTGAAGCCCGACCACATCCCCGCTCACCTCACCTACGCAAAACTACTGGCCCTGACGGTGAGACACGCCCCTTTTTTCTGTGTTTTATTGATGATATGCCAAAATGTAATAATTTATGTCTATTGACTTAGTAAATAATCGCTTTCCAATAGGACTGACTGGCAGTATCATCAGACCACACTGCTATTATTTCAGATCCCTCCATTTTCTTACCGTTTATCTGTTGCTATTAATCACAACACTGAATATGATTTCATACTGACTTTCTGTAATGTATATAGTCGCCAATACATATACATCAGGGGTGTTAAACTGGCTCCAGAATGGGCCAGTGTATTTCAATTCAATTCAATGTATTCTTGTATAGCCCTAAATCACAACAGTAGCTATCTCGGGGGACTTACCAAAACCAAAGAATTCTCAAGCACAGATCAGGCAATCTAACAGTTCAAATACAAGAAATGCATTGATTTGAAAAAAATGCATAGGTCCATTAGGGGCAGATGACCAATGTCCATAAATGTTGTTGAAGGTTGAGTGTCCTGGATCATCACCACTGTCCAACTGACCCTCCCTCTCTAGCTGCAAGTTTTAATTCCAACCAAGCAAGAGCACACCAGAGTCCACTCAATTCCTCAAGTCTTCAGGTCAAGACTGGACTCACGTGAGGAAATGGATGGAGTCTGGTGTGCTCCTGCTTGGTTGGAATTAAAACCATCATCCTCATCGGACGCCTTTGAGGACCGGTTTGAGACCCCTGATATAGATGATTCTTCACTGTGTCCAAGAATGAATGAATCTGAGTGGATTAGACTTTGTGTTATACCCAAACTTCTAACTTAAATATATAGGCTTCAACATGTTTTGACAAGTCGTGCAATGAATCTGGATTAGATTAATCTCTTACCATGGTGTTTGCCCTCTTCACAGAATATCAATGTGTCCCATATGTCAAGACAGCGTTTCCAACACTTCCCCAGTCTGTCAGAGTGCCGTACATTAGTCATGCATTACTGGTCTTATCTGTCTGATCTGTCTCCATCAGTAAAACACTTCTCATTTCATCATATCCCACTTTGTCCAGGGCTACATGTCATTCATCAGCCTGGATTCTCATCACTTCTTAACTGATCACAAGCTTTGAGACAGGATCGATAGCGAGGAAGAAAAAAGCCTAAGTAATCATTGCTTTAAAATAACATCTCGGATTCATGACTGTACGACGAGGCCGAGCGGAACTTGCAGAAATATAAGCGCTGTGTTGTTCCAGTCCTGCACAGATTTTATCACCAAGGGGGGTCAGCGACATGTCCTAGAACAAGCAAAGTCACAGTCTCCAGGGTAAATTTACTTTCACCGACTCCGTGGCTCCTTTGCGGTCACAAGTTTAGGTCAGACAGTCATCCTCCTCAGATTCACTCTCGATAGGCGTCTCCAGATTAATGGAAGTTACAGCTACAGTATTAAGGACAATGTACAAGGTAAATAAATAAAAAATGCTGGGAGTTGAAGTACAGGTCAGTCGAACATACTTAGTATCTGCATTTAATCAGGAAGAGAAGAGTGGATTTGATTGTATATTGTGTTGTGGGAGATTCACAATCAGATCTTCGAGCTGCATTTATAGCATATACAAATATTTATGAAAATGTTTGCGTTCCAAAAATTCCAATGTTCTATTGATAGCCATAGTTTGCATTCTCTCAATTATACTGGTGTTAAACTTTACTCTTCGTATGTTTTAAAGCTACATCCCTAAATATATTCTTTTATAAATAATACATGTGGCTTGTCCCAACAGAAAGAAAGTTAAATTTTGTTGTTTAACTGAGCACTGTGAGTCAAACGATGACACTTTGGACTGAAAGCTGATTGGCTGTGTGAGGGTGCCCTTCTCTTTTATACTTTTCTGTCTAAAAAATCATCAAAATCTGTGAAAGATGTAAAAGTTTTAAGCGATAGGGATTTGGATTTGAGTACCTGAGCTTTGACGCTATACTGTGGTACATTCCCGGTGAACCCATATGGACACAAGCAGGACGCATAGCAGCAAAGATAAATAGTGCAGCTTTGAGTGTATACATTTCTTCAGCAGATGTATGGAGCCAGTCAAGGCAATATTCCAGGTTGAGAAATGCATTATTGAAGAGAGAGTTATTGATTTGTTTTCTTTTTCTGCCTGAGTTAAGATTGCTGGGGTGAGTTCATATATAAAGATTGGTAGGTCTCCAGCCCAGTGTAAAGAAAAGAAAAGACCATTATTAGATACAGCCAGTTTTAGCTGTTGTTTTGCTCAATCAAATGAACTTCACATTGGAGAGACATCAAGGGTTTTCTTTTTTAAGATCACAGCCTCATAGTTGCACTGCTCCCTTCCCACTTCAATAAAAAGTCTCGGGGAATGATGTTAAGGGCACATACATGCACAGGGATGGACACAAGATGCAGAGATTATAGAAACTCCATTTCCTCTATGATTTAATAAAACACAGGCCTTGCAATCTAATGTTTTTTTATTACTCAAACCACCATCTGCTTTGAATATGGCGTTATCTGTAAATATGAGCGACGCATCAATCCCAGAATACACACCACAAAAGAACAAATTTGTGATACAAATCCTTGAATTACAATCATATTAGGAACAGGTTTGTCTGGACAACACTATCAATAAGCCAGCTTACATACATTTGGATAGATTTGGATTTACTTGTGCGCCGCCGTGTCGCTAACAAACCTGGAAAAACATCTAATTTTGAATTAAAAAACAACAAATCCGTCAGACTGACCACTGGGCCCGGTCTGTCCCATGTGTGAGTAAAGGTATAGGCCCCTTCGTTTCTGTTTATGGTACGTGCACCCTGTTATCTGATTTCAATAGCCTATTTTGCATTTTCTAGTATTAGTTTAAGATTGAATTTGAACCCTGCGTTTGCATTGACAGCATTAACTGAAAGTAACTGAATTCTAAACTACTCCATATGCAATGTTCTTACACCTCATATGACCTCACACACACTGTTCGTGCACAATTGTATTCTTACTTGTGTTCTGCGTGTGTGATTTACAAACTTGAATGCACTGAAGTAGAGGAGACAACGCCGCACCTGGGATCGGCCAATAATTCCCTTTTCAAATGAGGATTGAGAAATGTCTTTTTATTCGACACACTGCATGCCTGGTATTACTGAATGGTGTAATCCTACTTCTTTATCCTCCACAACAATAAGTCATCAGAGTGAGAAGTGGAATCCTGAGCTTGAATAAACATAAATGATGAGTGCAGGTGCTGCTTAGATGTGAGATTTGTACGGAGAAGAAGGCTTTTTGCAAATGAAGGGAAATACATGCATTTGTGGAACTCACTGATGATATTGGAATGTAACTCAAGTTATCATTTTGGTAAATCGTATGTGGCTATGTGCTGAATGCTCTGTATTGTAATTCACTTTAGCTTCAGGAAGACACCGGGAGGTCTGGGGAGCTCATTTGCTAAGTGTCTTTTGTTGTGTTGGTTTCTTCCTTTCCCATCTGCATACGAAGGTGTGTCTTGTTCTACCAAAAGGGGCTTGCAGACTGTGAATCTTCAGACTTGTCCTGAGAGAGGCTAGGGTCTGTGCCTTGCCTCTGTCAAGACTTTCTCCTTGTACAATGTAACAAGTAAAAGATTAACTTTGTCTCTTTGTTGTGTGAGATTTCATCAGGTTCAACTGTAGTTGAAACAGCATTATCACTGATTAGACTAACATTCTCTGAAAAATTGTCATTATCCCAGCCTAATAACAATTCAACGTACATTCTTTACCAACACATTATTCTTCTGTAGCTATTGTCGTTGAACGTAGCTTTGTTACTGTTCTAGATGAATGCACGTTGTTAATAGCAGATCTGATGACATATGGTCCCAGCTGGCGCTCTCATTGGACAGCTGCTAACTTTCCGTGTGAGCTGTGATTGGTGACGTGTGACAGTCAAAAGGCCATCTGGGTTTCTGTCTTTAAGCCTTCAACATTACAGGGCACAATTTATTTTGAATTTACGCATTATTTTCCCAATTGAAGGACAATCAATCTACAAAAATAATGAAAAGCTCCTTGTTTGTACTTCAGACACAGTCCTATGTTAGGTCATGTGTATATACAACACAGGGACAAATAGACATTTCATCGCGCGTGCTTAGATCAACAACAAAAAATCCAGTCTGGAACATTTTTTGCAGCATTTCTCAACCCGAACTATGATTTATATACATTTTTCATATTATTTGTTTCACCTTCTGCTTCACTTCTCCCACTCACCGCTCAGTCCTGTGTTGTTACACACACATACACAGACACACAGGGCGGCACGGTGGCTGAGTGGGTAGCACTCTCGCCTCTCAGCAAGAAGGTCCTGGGTTCGAATCCCGGTCGGACCAGGGCCTTTCTGAGTGGAGTTTGCATGTTCTCCCCGTGTCTGCGTAGGTTTCCTCCGGGTACTCCGGTTTCCCCTACCACTAAAAATATGTCCAATAGACATGTCTGGCATGCGCCTCCTGTACCGGCGACCCCGCTCCCATCTCTGTGTGGAGTGAGAGACAAATGCCCATAATTAACAATTGTAAACTGCTTTGAGACTCAGATCTGCAGTGAAAAGGCGGTATATAAATAAAGATTACTACTAAAAATTACTACTACTACTACACACACAGACACGGCACGCACACAAACACGCGTCTAGTTGTCTATGGTTCTGCTCCTGTGTGGGGTTTTTTACAGATAACAGTAAGTAATGAATGAGCTGCAGACACAGTGCACTCCTGACAGAAAGAATCACAGGCGGAACATGTGTTTGGTGTTTCTTTATTAGGATTTATTGTCGAGGAGGTGTGCGGTTTGGATGGTGACACTCGGGGTAAACTCAGGGGTCTTCAGGCTGTGGTCTTTACAGAATGACTGGTTGAAATAATAATGACACTGTGTAATGTGTTGTTCTCAGGGGCAGAAAACAGAAGCTGAGCGCTACTTCCTCAAGGCCATTCAGCTGGATCCCACAAAGGGCAACTGCTACATGCATTACGGTAATGTTGCATTTTTACTACATGATCAAATGTTTTCTTGTCTAATGGATACATTTGTCATGAATTAATATAATATAATATATATATTATATTATATAATAGGTATTTCAGGTTGAGGTTCTCGCACACATATCTGAACAGCCTTGTATCAAATGTATGCGTCAGTTTGTCTGTAGAAGGTAAAAGTTTATGTGCTGTACCGTACAATAGCAATGAAATGGAAGCATCATTAGACTAAAGGCTGGTACAATAATAAGGAAGTTTTCTTTAACATCCATCAGAAATAAGAGAAATATTCCCTATTATTCCCCTAATTTAGTAACAGGAACCTCCCGGTTCCCTTTGTGCATTCACACTGCAGAAAGGGCCTGTACGTGGCTCGGGCTAGGTTTAACATGGAATTTTATTTTGGGGGTACAAAAGTGATGTCTCTCAACAAATTTGACTGATCCAAAAAAGCGATAAAAAGTCAGCCAAAACCAATCAGACCACAACATGCTGTTTTGATCTTATTAGAATCTATTTCAATGAAGGTGGTCCTCTCTTTTTTACTTTTCTGTCTGAAAAGCTGAAATATTTGACATTCCAAAAAATACATGCTTGTGAAAACTACTGAGAGCCCAATACTTTTGAGAGCGATAAGACAGATGTATTCCATAGTTATTGTGTGTGTTTTTACATTTAATAAAAAACTATGTATCGCCCAGTCCTTCTTTCAACTTACTGGTTTCCACTTGCACTTACCTCATGGTGTGATTGCATCGTCGCTCAACACGTGTCTTACCTGACATTGTTTCCCTGTATTAATATTATTTCATCCAATCTTGGAATAAGCTCTATTTATGAGATAATGTGTGCAAGTCCAACCCTATACTTCGGTTAGATTTGGTTTGGATAATATCTCTTGTGGTTCAACACTGAGGCTGATCAAAGTCAACCCAGCTGAATAATTCCTCTAAAAGCCTGGCTTTTGTAAACGACTCCAGTTGTGCCTGTGAGGCTGCAGGCGTGGTTGAACTGCAGCCATGGTCCTAATAAGACATATTTCCTGTGAAAGATATTTTATATTACAATAACAGGTCTGTCTACTGTGGTTGGTTAATTTGGACAAATTGGTCTGAGCGAAGGCCAGAGAGAGATGGAATGTGTGGAGTGGCTACTGTACTGACGGATGATGTAGACTTCATCAAGGCTCGGCCAATGAAGATGTGGGAAGTGTCTTAAATATAATGACTTTCCTGCACTTTTCCCTCCCCACTTTTAGGGAAAATCCTCCCTGTCCTAAAAACTGCCTTAGAATCAGCGTAGTCTGGTTTTCCTCAGGCTTCTAGCTCACTCAGGTTTGTCCCTGGTGCTTCCAGGTCAGTTTTTGTTGGAGGAGTCTCGGGTGATGCAGGCGGCAGAGATGGCCAAGAAAGCAGCGCAGCTCGACAGCGGAGAGTTTGATGTGGTCTTCAGCGCGGCCCACATGCTCAGGTGAGGTTTTTACTGGCTGTCTGATGAGTTCCATGCACGGACACTGGTAATTTAGTGTGTGGAGGAGATGGGTGGGCCTCAGTAGTTTCCAGGGCTGAGGAGGGGTCTTATCCCAGGCTTACACCAGTCCTCAGCCTCATCATTTAGACTAATCCTGTCCTCTCACTGCAGTGCTGCTGCAGAGCCTGGACTGTCACAGATCTGAGCTGAGAGCTGAGATTACAATTACTGCAGTGTGACAAGTAACATTCTGTAAAATACATCAACTACATGGCGAGATGTCAAAGCACACGATGTAATATGTCCTGTATTTTTTATTAATAACATCAGTTGTGGTTACATTCACTTAATGTACTAATACTAATGACATGTAGGGACAATAAACAATAGCTTCAGCCTTCACATTTTCTGTCTTTCTGCTCTCAAGTAACTGCTCTGTAACTATGTGTAAATGTGCTTAAATAATACCTTTTTTTTAATGCATTTTTAGTATTTTTATTTTCATCAACATAAGCTACTTACATTCTGTTGTATTGGCTAATCAGAATTAGTCAATCTTTGTAAGACAAATTTAATATACTTCCCTGATGTTTTTAATGATAACAAATAATGTTTGTATGAATTATAATCAATTGAATTCACCTTTAACTCAGACACATAAAAAGTCCATATAAAACTTACAAAAACATCCATCCATCTTCTTCCCCTTAATCCATTTCTGGGTCGGTGGGGTGGCAGTCAGAGCTGCACCCAATTCACTTAGCACCAGCCCCTCACTGATCCTCTGCAGGTGGTGAGTCCACAGGAGGACGGCTGCTCTGTCAGTGACAATACGGCCTTGATTTTTCAGTGGGGGCTTCAGGCAATGCAGGGTTAAGTGTCTTGCCCAAGGACACAACAACAGCAGTCATCAGTGGGAGTCGGTGGAGAAGGTCCCGTGGTGGGCTTGAACCCCCGACCTTCAGGCTCAAAGGCCAGTGCTCTACCAACTGAGCTACTGTCGCCCCTACTTACAAAAACAGAAAAACAAAAATTATAGACAACAACAAACAAACTATCATATTTGCAACTTCTCTTTTCACAAAACGACAAAAATTAACCAATTTTATTTCAGACGTATCAGCTCTTTGATTCTTAACCCACAAGCTCCTAAACCCGGGACACTTTATATACAGTGACTTGGCTTCCCATAAATCTCTACCAATGTTCTTCTATGTTATTGATATAAGTCGTCCACTATCTCTTATCAAATTAGAGGGCGTCTCCATTTGTCTGTTTCTCAATATATTTCTCAAAGAATCCTTGCACCTGTAGAGTTAAAATCAGTATTCAGAGCTGAGTCCATCTCCAGCTGCTCCTCAGACTGTAGACCCCTCACAGTGGGCAGAGGCTGCAGCAGTGAGTGGTGCGGACCCCAGGCTCCTGGCCTGGGCTCCTCTTCTCTCCCCACTCCTCCATGGCTCATGATCTTTATGTGTTTGCTTTGGACCCTGCAGTGGAAAGGCTCTCTGTCGGAGGGACACGAGTAATTCTACGCACAAATACAACCTCTTAGAAGTGTAAATGTCGATCATTATACTCCAGGGTCCTTGAGATTTTCACTAAACCAATCATTTCAAGAATTTATTTGTTTTTTTCAATTGGAAAATGGAAAAGGCAAGTATATTGAGCTGAAAAGTGCCAAGTTCATGTCTTGTAAATATGACTTGTGCATTGGTCGAGGAAGAAATGGTTACATACGTTATATAGTCATACATGTATCTATTAGAACCACATGTTTTATAGAGGCAGATATTGAAGGCTTTAGTCTCTGCTGTTGCATCTCATGGCGTTAGCAGTAACAGATGCAGTATTAGTAATATCCCCAGGGGTTTGTGAATATGAAATTATTATTAAAATGCTTGTGGGTAACATCATGAGCTGGGAGCAGACAGTACATCAGGAGGAGTCCCTGAGGCTAAAACTGTGTGCAAAGAAAGAAAAGTAAAATCCTTGTGGGCTGTAGATAGAATGGGCCAAGCATCTCCTTTTACGACTAAATACTTTTTTGTTTAACTATATTTAAGTAAACCTTGACCCTTTTGTTATTTTCTTTGTTAAATTTTCTCACATACTTCATATATATAAGACCTCTGCTCTTTGCTCTGGTTTGGTGCCAGTTCCTTAAACATGATGATGATTTTATCCAATTAGATCAGTACATTTGTATTCCTGCCCTGAAGCTGGATATCTCTAAATACTGTTGTTGGCAAAACAAGCCTGTGTTTGTGGCTGGAGGACAGGCCGCATTTATAATGTCTGGACAAATTCGGCTACAGCCACATTTGGATCAGCATTGGAATTTAAAGTAGTTGCTCGAAAAAGAGAAGGATTGACAGAAAGCATACATTCTAACTGTTTAATGATGATGTGATGATGTCTGTTTCTGACTTGGAGTTCAAGAAAGCTCAAATGAGAGAAAAGGGAATCTCGGAAAGCAACTGCAACAAAAAAATCTTTGATCTGCAACATTGTTAGACTCTCCCAGAGGTTAGTGAGAATACTGGGTCATTATGTGCAATTCTAAAACAAATGGTTTCATTATTTGACATATAAAAATACTGTGTAAAAACAAAGGGTAGCTGAAAGATTCCATTTGCCCGCACAGACAACCTGTTTTAGTGCTTGTGACCTTCGCTCTCTAGAGGAAAGCTGCGCCTTATGTCCTGCGCATGTGGATGATCCCTGTAGAGGCCGACAGCCCAAATGAAAGAGCCACAGCGGCTTTGATCAGTCCAACCTGAGGCACTGCTCCTGTCCTTGACTTTCTCTGAAACTGGTTGCAATGAGTCACGCTGCAGCGGAGTGCCGTAAAGACACAGTAAACTTTGTGCGCTAATAGGGGAGAGTAGGCAGAGCAGTGGGATATTACAGATCAAAACAACGGCTTTTGACAAGAGCCACGTGTGTGAAACATCATCCCAGCTGAATTTCCGCTTGGATAAACAAACTACAGTAGTTGCTGGACTAATATACCTGTAGATTAACCACACCAGCTACATTTGTAAAGAAAGTGCATTTTGTCCACTTCTAGGTCACACTTGAATTTTAGCCACAGGTGTTCATGTTGTAATGTAATCATGGTGATAAACAAAGCCTAAGGACTACTGTTTTAACTGGACACACCACGATTTACTGACGATTTACTTGAACGTAGCTGTTGACTCGTGCTGATTAAAGCTCTCTGGGAAATCCAATCTATTTTGACAATAAACATGCATCTACTAAAACGTGATAGATTCAAGATAACAGGTCCATAAATTCTGCTCTGACAATAGCCCTAATCACATATTCAACAACACTTCCCTGTGCCGGCTCTCTGCTGTTCACTTAAACACACCAGGGAGTAGGAATGTGTGCTACATCAGCTCTGGGGATCAACGGCTGATGGGTCTGAGTCCATTAATCTACTGTAATTAGTGTTTGACTTCTTCATTGAGATTTTACATACAATATTGCCTCTAGAGTGTGCCTAGTTATTCAATTCTGCTTGTTGTAAAACACTTAGTAAAGAATCAGAATCATTTTTATTGCCACGTAAGTAACAGGAGGTCACAGACTTGGAAATTGCTTTGGCTCAGTGCAACAGTCAGAAAGAGATAATAAAAATAAGAATAAAAAACACTTCTAAAGAATAAATTTAAATTTAAAATAGAGTTACAGTTACTATTTACAATATACAAGTGCACATGGTGCACACAATGTAAGGTGAACAGCAGTACAGTGAAGTAAAGTGACGTATGATGGGCAGTAAAGTGACTTTATAAAGGGCGTGGGGACAGGTTAAGAAGTGTTCAAGACTCCAACAGCAGAGGAGAAGAAACTGTTCTTGTGGCGGGAGGTTCTAGTCCTGATGGACAGCAGCCTCCTGCCTGAGGGGAGTGGTTGGAATAGTCCATGTGCAGGGTGAGAGGGGTCGGCTGTGATACGACCAGCCCGGCCTCGAGCTCGGGCGACGTACAAGTCCTGCAGCGATGGAAGGCTGCGGCCGATCACTTCCTCTGCAGAGCGCACAATGCGCTGTAGTCTCTGTTTGTCCCTGACTGTGGCTCCAGCGAACCACACGGTGACGGAGGAGGTGAGGATGGACTCGATGATGGCCGTGTAGAACTGCACCAGCATCTGTGCAGGCAGCTTGGCTTTCCTGAGCTGCCGCAGGAAGTACATCCTCTGCTGGGCCTTCTTGATGAGGGAGCTGATGGTCGGCTCCCACTTGAGGTCCTGGGTGATGGTGGTGCCCAGGAAACGGAAGGACTCCACAGAGGTGATGGGGGAGTCCATCACGGAGGGTGGGGGCGGGGGGGACAGTGCTCTTCCTGAAGTCCACAATCATCTCCACTGTCTTCTGGGCGTTCAGCTCCAGGTTGTTACCACTGGAGAGGTGAAACTCTCTCTTACTGCTTTTGTAAGATGCTATTAAAAGTGTAGTATTATTATTCATCTTTAGTATTTTCAGTTTAATTCACGGCACACATTTCCAGGTTATATTTTTCCAGGAGAAAGATCCATCCCCACACAGACAACTGTTGGAATTAAATCTGTTTTTGTATCTTTGCTCATTTTATATTTATATTTCCGCGTGTTTGTTTCCCACTGACCCCTGAGCACCACTGAACAGAGCCAGCTGCAGTAAAGATTAATAATGACCACCTCCTCCTGTGCCTTTGCTCCGCAGGCAAGCCAATCTAAACGAAGCGGCCGAAAAGTACTACGGACAAGCAGCCAGTCTGAGGCCGGACGTAAGTAACATTCAACTCCCGTAATAATTATATCCATAAAATCTAAATAAAAGGGTCATCACATAACATTTATATATTTTGCTGAAATATTTTATCCCCTCCATCATGCATTGTTGTAACTTTAACATGACCTGATGGTGTCTCCATTTTGTCTCCAAGGATATGGGGCTGATATGGTCGGACTTCTGGGTTAAAAGTGTATCTTAAATCATAATCTGTCGTGATAATTCTTTCTTTTATAACGTAACTACTACAGGCCAGTGTTGCCAAATGCTATTTATGTATAAGTATGATGTAGTAATCTTGGTATTATCGAGGCAAGGCAAGTTTCTGTGTATTTCAACTTTTCTACATTTCCACCCCCCTGTTCAAAAGACATAAGTTAAGTCCATCTCATCTTAACTGCCTGGGTGTTGAAAACTTTAGGGATGGCTGAGTTATAGGGCCATACACACCGCATACGCTATTCGAGTTCACGGGCAGGGAACAAGTCGCAGCAATATACAATTTTATTTTGTTTAGTCAATCCTTAAGCGAGTAACCACCAGAAAAACCACCTGTCAAAGGCAGTGCCCCCACAGCCGTCACTTAGAGCAGCCACCTGTGAGAACCCAGGCGCCTTCATCTCGGGGCTGCTCGGCCTCTCGGACCGGGGGGTTATTACCATTATTCTTTCCAACCTGCTCACTTTGCCGCTGCTTTTGAAGTCTCTGATGGATGTAGCACAAACGAAGCCTCATTTCTCGGCCCCTGGTCTCGACAAAGGGCCCATTCACGGCGGTAATAAGAAGAGATTACAGCAGAGGCCGGGCGCACGCTGATTGCTGCGATTCTCGTAAGCATAATTAGAAGGTTGTTGTTTATTGCGGGCAAAAGACGCTCGTATCGTCTGTCATGACCATGTGACGGCGTGTTTTTCTTGTGGTTACCTGTTTGACGTCGCCAGTCGTGTGTAGAAAACGTATTTATTCAGACTGGCTTGTAATACACACCATTTTGTTTTATTATGCATGTAGTTAAGTATTTTATTTACACGCTTTTTTGGGCCTTGACTTTACTGTATAGCTTTACAGGTGAAACTCAGAAAATTAAGATATCGATCAAAAGTCAATTTAATATAAACTGTCATATATTTAAAACTAATATATGTCACTCATTTAACGGATCAAGTACAGGTTTGTTTGTTATCATTATGCCTGTAATGTGTGTGTGTGGGGGGAACTAAAAACCTATTATTGCGACAACAACAAAAAGACTTTATTGATCTCACATTGGAGAAATTGGCATAATTAGTATCACTCAGGTTGTTCAAAAGGCAAGAAATGTGCAAATGATCTCTTATGCAAGATATATGATGTACAATAACATTAAAAGTGACTGTAAGACTGTAAAAGTTTATCTTTATAGTGCCTTCCACAGACCAGGATCACAAAGCGCTTCACATTTAAAAACATAGAGATAAAAGTAATACACATACAAGTCAGATTTAAAAACAATAAAGTTACTTATTGTACAGTCTGACAGCGGTGGGGATGACTTTGATCGAAAGACCTCTCAGGGGTCCTCAATTCTCCTGATGTGTAAGAGAATATTACATGACATGAAGAATAATGAATTTGTAAGAAGTTCAATTCAATTCATTTTTGTATATAACTTTTAATTCCCAACAGCAGTCGTCTTGGAGGACTTTACACAGTTGTTGTTTCGCCAACATCAGATCAGAGAATCAAACTGTTCTAACACAGGAAATTTAAAAATAACAAACATATAGAAGCCATCGGTACATGAGGGATCACCAATCTCCTTTATCTTCATAGATGTCCACAAATGTCAAGGGACAACTCCAAAAATATAGTGGGAAAAAAAAATCTTTGCCTTGACAATAATCCGTTCCGATGTTTTCTTTAGCTTAAATCAATAATTATGTATAAAGTTATTTGGATTTATCCATCAAAGTCTTAGATATATATTTTTGTCAAACATCAAAAGGTCACTTAGCGCTGGACACAAAACCCAACAGTCAGATACACTTTCAAAAGCTGTACATTTATATTACTTATGAAGTCCTTCTCCCACCGAGTCTGTAAACATGTTGAGACAGATTAACTTTAGCGTCATTCTTCTCCCAAAAAAAAACTCCTTCTTTTCGACATTTGTGTTTTTCTCGTGTATTTTTCCCGCGCCGGCCCCAGATCTGTGTAAAGTGACTGTTTCTTGGCCTTTACAACTATATAAACTTTTTTTTTTTTTTTGCATGATCCAAGCCCCAAACACCGACCACATTTGCGTTCCGGTCACTCCGACTTGGCCTCCTCCCGTGAGCGTTATTGCTTACAGCCGTCGCACCGGAGTCGAGGCTTTTATATTCACCCGTCTCCCGAGCGTTCGCCTTTGTTCTGCTCAATGGGACTTGACCGCAGCTGTGTTCATTGTCCATCTGCGTTTGTCACTTCACGCTTTACTGCTTTTTGACACCTCGCTTATATATATCGAAATCACATGGAGGCCTATGCTGAAAGACGGACGCGGTTTTTACTAGCCGTATTAAAAGGCCCTTACAGCGAATTAATGCGTTTTCGTTCAATTAATTCATGCACGTTGTTATGCAAATGTTTTAAAAATGAAGACATCTCGACAAAAGCTGCACCATTTTTGGGGGGTTTTTTACGGTGTGGTCCACATCTGCTCCGATCTCTCTGCCTTCATGCCAGTTTAGAGGAGGCTTCAGAGGTTGAGAGGTAACAGAGCAGCAGGAAATGAGCAGAAATGAAAGGCTTTGACAAGGGAATAGGCTTTTTTTGGTTTGTGTGTGGAGCATACAGAGAAAGTAGTAAAACAGTATGGCGGTGTATAAATCAAGAACTCTTTAGATACCGCGCCGTTCAGAAAACATTGAACGGGAATAAAGGAGTTCCAGATGAAAAGATGTTGGAATGGCTTGTTTTTATAGGAGTGGGTTGTGATGTGGACTTGCTTATGTTTCACCAACGTTGGTCCATTACATCCATCTCCAACTCCAACGTTTTGGTTTCACTATCGAAACAACAAGCTCAACTTTAACCACCTGAATAAACATCTTAGTTTGGTACTTACAGGTGAAACTCTGAAAATGTGAATATTGTTCTAATGTCCGTTTACTAGTCAAAGACAGACTCATTACGTGCCCAGTGAGATGCATCAAACCTTTACAAAAAATATCAGAACATTTAAATATTTGCATGTATTTAGTTCATAATAATGCGTTTCACATGTTAAGTTGAATTACAGAAATGAATGTACTAATAAGCTATTTCTCTGAGTTTCACGTGTAAAGCTGGGATACAGTTCAATATTTCTCTTTTTAAACGGAAGAAAACTTTTGTTCTGAAGACATATTATTGTTCGAGATTGTGATAATGAACATGATTTGAGATAGGAGCATATGGCGCAGGGATGAGTTTGTGGAGGAAGATAGTATACACCCCTGATATTAGTGTGGGTGGTATTTTATTTTAATTTTTTTATTTTGCTGTCTTTGCTTTGTGTTTTTGTGTTTTGCTTATAATTCTGCTGTTTGTCTATCATGATTGTTATTGCCCTTAAATTAATTAAAAACAAAAAAAAAGCACTAGATGTAATTATAGCAGTGTACATTTAGCAAAATAACCGCTAACGATACAGATATTGATACAGATTTATTGCCAATCCACAAATAACAACAATGATACGTTTAGTAACAAAAAAAATCCATATTTAAGGTTTTATATAGCACTGTATGTGTCTCCCCAGTGCAATGCTTTTTGGACCCGTCTCCAATTTTCAATGTTGTGCTAATATATAAACACTTCCTTGACTTCCAATCCAAACAGCCCCTTGGTGTTATGGTGGTATGACCTAAAATGGCGGGTCAAACTGCCGGTATTTTATTAGCCAAACAGATGTAAAGGTCCGTCGGCCATTAGAGGAAAGAGTCCGGGGTGATGTCTCGATGAAACACATGCAGTTGCGTTGTGGCTTGTTTTTCTTGTGGATTATTGTAATTACAGAGAGTTTCTATTGAATAATGACGACGTTTGAAGGTTGGAGCAGTAGGAAGCGTTTTGCTCTGTGCAGAACGACTTGAAAGACATACAAAGCGTGTGGTTTGAACTCTAGGGCGTTTTTTATTTTTAAGTTCTGCCCGTTTCTTTAGTTGAAGATTTTCTTTATTTGTTATTTTAAAGACCACAAAAAGGTAAAGTGATGCTCAATCTGACACTCACTGCAAAAAATGGGAAATGTAGTCTTTGCTGTAGATATAAAATTATCTTGATCTGAGTTAAATTTGACTAAAAAGATGGGAAATGAACAGCTTAATTACTTGTTGATTATTAAAAAAAAATCATACTTAGTTAAAGAAGGCTTTAACGTGCACTCTTGATTTGTTCCTTTTCTATATTGTACAAAGCCAGGTCAAATAATTCTCCAATCGAGATTTTCAGAAATTTTTACTTATAATCTTTGCAGTGTTTTATCAAGGTCTGAAATTATTAGAGATAATTGCTCTTTCTCTCAAACGTAGGCCTTAAAGGAGCCGCATGTAAAAATCTGGCCAAAAATGGAACTGCAACTTCTCCCACTCTCCCTGACTCAGGTTGCCAGATATGCAGACGATTCCAGCTGGGACCAAAATATCTGTTTATGTCAACAACAAATCTATAGCCAACAACTTTTTCACAAAGGCTCCGATAGAAATCCTTAGAGTTCTGGCAACCCGGATCACGGATTTTCTGATTGGTGAAACGGTGGAGGGCGGGACATAGAAATGAAAACAATAACAAGATTTAGGGGCTGTAAAACTAATTTTGAAATTCAAATATCTCAGCTGAACTGCAGTATTTGAAAAGAGCATGGTTTATTAATGCCTTTTGAAAGATTAGGGCCATTTAATGATGAATCTTATATATTGCTACTTTAACGATATCCCAAATCCTCCTCATCGTAGATTTGAATGGATTATTATGGAAAGGGCTTTGGTAGGTTTTTCAACACGTCATTGTCAAAGATTACCGTAGTTGAAGTTGAGTCACGGTAGCTTTGGTGACAGCGTAAGAGGCCCGGGTGAGCCATAATGTGGATCAGATGTTGCTCCTGGCTCGGCTCTGGTCGGCTCCTCCTGAGAGCTTCACCGCAGATCCTCGTCGTGATGGAGTCTGCAGCGGGATATGTGCAGCGTGGAGCCTGCCGAGCCACTTCAAAGCCCCGCTCCTGTCTGACTCTGACATGTGGCGACTGCGCACCGCAACCAGGAGGACACCGAGGCTGGAAAACCAATCTGACTTCTCGATAGGATGTCTCATTTAAGGGGAACAGTGCGTTTTGTGCGTACGCCGACTCTGCTGGGATGACCACGGAAAGTCCTCCCCAGTCATGATTGTTAGAACGCCAGATGCCCTCGCCGAGAGCCTGGCTGAAATCAACGTCTGGGTTTGGACGGCTCAACACTTCGCAATCAAGTTGAAAGTGCGAGTTGAGAAGTTGCAGAAAATCGCAAGGACTGTAGTGATCGAGCCCAATCTCTATCTGTAAAAATTGACAAAATGTGAATATATATGTGTATGTAGTGTATATGTAGAATTTCAAATCAACAAAATCATACAATCAAAAGATAAATAGTTATTGGATTTTAACGCAAAAACGCAAGGAATAACATTAACAGTTTTGCCAATAATTATGGTAAAAAAAAGTTATATATACCGTACATTTATATAAAAATATGTATATTTTATTTATTTGCTGATTTCTTGTTTGATTGATCACATTAGCACCAGTCTTCTTTATATTTTGTGTTTTATTTCAGATGTTTTTTTCTCATCCCAAACTTCCCTTGTGTCCCCCCAGTACCCCGCGGCTCTGATGAACCTAGGGGCCATTCTCCACCTCAATGGGAAACTGCAGGAGGCAGAATCCAACTATCTGAGAGCTCTCCAGCTGAAGCCGGACGACTCCATCACTCAGTCCAACCTGCGAAAGCTCTGGAACATCATGGAGAAGCAGGGCATGCGGACAGCCGGCCCCTGAGCCCCTCCCCGGCCCCCACATGTGCTCCAGTCCCGGGTCAGAACCGGCTCAGTCTCCCCTGCTCCGCTCCAACTCGAGGATGCTTCAGAGCGTGATGATTTCAAAGCTCTGAATGCACCTCGGGCCATGAATACTCCACGCAAAACACAACTCAGCGCACCGGAGCTGTTTGGACTTGATAAAAGCAGTCATCTGAAGTATGTTTTCACAAACTACGGCACTTTTAGCTTTATTGGAAAATCATTCTGAGATATTTTGTATTCCAGTCAACGCAGTGCCTGTTTCTCATTATAATTTTGTCCCATTCAAATGAACTGACCGTTTCAAAGCATCACATAAATTACACATTTACCGGGTTTTGAAGGATTTTTAGCAGCAGTAAAATTGTAGCTTCAAAGATGAAAAGGGAATTGACTATTCAACGATTTGAATGCATCAATAGCCTCTGATAGCTCCGGGAAGTTTGGAGTTGGCCAAGTAGATTATACTTGGCAAGGCAGTTAAAGCCATTGCCTTACAGCGAAATGTGTGAATCCTCTTTATTAGATTGTAGAGCAGTAGATTTTTTCCCATTACGGCGCGGTTTTAGCACAAGGGAGAAAGTCAGGCTGCCATGGCGATGCAATGGTCCCACTCCCACTAGAGTTATTAGTGGAAGAAGGGGCGTCATATGATCGAAAATGATTTTTAACATTATGGAGGATTAGCAAACCAAATACAAACGCTATGTAAATGTTGTCACTATTGCACACAGCACTAAAGAGGGAAAGGTTTTATAAATTATTTGGGGGAGAAAAACTGTTTTGTATAAAGATAATATATTGTAGAATATGTAAATAAAACCATACAGCAAAAAAGTAGCCAACAAAATGCTGGCCAACGGTTTATTGAAGTGAGAGGTACGGCTCTATTTCTCAGTTTTAAGCTCTTGTGTATATAGTATATTCTGTTTGGATCCAACACGTCCCGTTTAGGAGTCTGTACAGTAATCGTGCCCCATTTGTTTGATTTTATTAGACATGATACACTGTGCTCGTTCGGTCATTATTAAGTTATTTCTATGGATCTTCTAAGCGACGGAACCAGCTGGCACTGTGTTTTTTGTACAGAAAGAGAGTATCCTGTTTGGTATCTTAACTCATTATTGGTGGATAAATGCTTGGATGCATTAGATATGACACGTTACAGTCCTGAAGGTATCACACTGACTTTTTGTCTATTACAGTATTTCATTTTGTAACTACCATGTCCATCGTTCATGTGCTCACTTCTGTCATAAAAGTGCTTCTATTTGAATTTTGCTTGGGTCAAAAAAGACGTGTCACTCCTTGTCAGCTCAGGGATCTCAAGCGTTTACTAAATTAAAAAGATTTATTTTTTAAAGTTCTTTGTATTTGTATAAATTATGAATATTTGTAGGCCTTTTTCTCCTGTTTTTGTAAAACCACAATGTGCTAGAAATTTCCAACTTTTTTCCACAATAAACGTCGTTTACAAACTCTCTTGTGTAAAACATGTACGCCACAATTATGCTGATGATTGTTGCTTTGATTCAATTCATTTCAATAATCTTCCATATCATAATCATTCATAAGAGTCCATACACAGTCAATCTTTATTTGTAGAGCGCCTTTCATACACAGGGCAACACAAAGCTCTTCACAGTCCACATCACACATGGCACAAACGTAAAATCACCAATTAAAACACATTTTTATATCTCACAGAAAGTAATGTTTATTTATATTTAGTGCACTTTTACAGACCAAGGTCTCACAAAGCGCTTTACAATGTTCAGAGTTCAAATATTGTTCCAACCACTCCACACACGGTGATGATGGAAGCGAGTCCAGAACACTGGTCCATCAAAGCCCCCAATCAACACCATCCATTCACTCTCTCATTTACATTCATACCTATTGTGCATGTTTTTAGTGGTAGGGGAAACCGGAGGACACCTAGGCAGACACAGGGAGAACATGCAAACTCCACTCAGAAAGGCCCTGTTCCGACCAGGATTCGAACCCAGGACCTTCTTGCTGAGAAGCGAGAGTGCTATCAACTCAGCCACCGTGCCACAGGTAATTGAAGACATTAGAACATTAAAATCACAAGGGATTAATGAAATAAATAACAACAGTGCACTACTAGTTCCTATGATTTGTTATTGCTTTGAAAAAGGGAACTCCCAGGAAGGTACTTTAGTTTTCTTTTCAAACAAATAGGACACAACTTTGGGATTTTACAGGATTTATTTGCGGTGGTCTTGCATGCAGCAGAACACGTTTCACACATGAGTTTGAAGAGCAAAACCTCTTCTGCAAACTTGCTAAACCGTGTCGCAAAATCAGGTCCAAAGCTTCTTCTCCTCCACTTTGATCCCGCTGCAGCAAAGAGCATGTAAAGACTCCCATATGTTCCGAGCACCGTCTGCGTGTGGAGCCTTCAGTCCAACAGAGTGACCTGAGAACAACCACAGGAAATGTGAAAATCCTGCTTTTTATCTTATCAACTGTTTTATAGACTGAGTGATAATTGAAGAATCGCACACCATTTTTTTAAAAACTAATTTCAAAGTAATCTAAAAGTATGAGTATACCCCTGAAACAAATTCACTCTACCCTTGCGAATGCAGATGAATACTTCTAGATAGATAGATACTTTATTGATCCCCTGTACGAGAAATACAGCCATCCATCCATCCAAACATCAAGAAAAACAAAATTCTTAAACTTGCAAACAATAGTAATAAAGTGCCCATGTTTAGCTCAGACAGATACAGCAAAAAGTGATACAAATATGAGGTAGTAATTGCTCGAATCAAAGAACATTCTGACTGTCTTAAAACAATATTTGCCAACGGGACAAAGCCATTTAGTCTTTTCTCATTCCAAGGGAGACCTTTCTTGTATATTTTCAAAACAAGATCATTATTCTTATCCCTTTGGCAAATCTTGTTTTCAGGCAGTCTAAATGTGCTTGAATTAAGACACATTTTGCCAAAGTTGAGCAATTTTTTACTTATTTTGAATCACTTTTTGCAGTGCTGTCTTATAGCCGCACAGACGTAGGATCTCTTAGAACCAGGGAGGTCCTTTGAAGTTATAAGAATCAGAACAAGATCTAGGCTGGGATCACAAAGGAAAGAGAAAAGAACTAATCAACCATGTTTAGATTATTTTTTTGCTCAATCACTCACACATTTGTTTGGAGCCTGGACTGGAATCTATACACAACTTCATAACGGCAACAATTAACCTCAGCTTTACCACTTCGCAGACCTCCCAGCTCCGCGTCTCACCCACAGTTTTATATATTCTTAGCCGGTGCAGTGGGAACAGCTGATGACGTTCCTCTGAGAGCCATTAGAGCTGCAGCCTGTCCCCATCACACGCCGCCACCATCCATCATGCAAATTTAGAACACGCTTATTTTTATTAAGTTCAGCTCACCGCCCTTTTGCTATCGCCTCATGTCAAAAAGCTGTAAAGAGTCTGCCGCTAACGACTTTGGACACTTCCTTGTGAAAAGTTGCCATAATAAGAGAAATGGGACACCGCAGTGAGAGGAGGCAGGAGCGGCAGGTCCCACATCAGAAGGGGTTAGGGGGATAGTGTAGACAGGACGTCCCGTATCCATGACTGAGTACTGGGGCTCTGGTCAAAGAGGGTGTATTACATATAATATATTGAATTGTTGGTTAAATTCAATTTGTTGCTTGTTCAATTCAACTCAATTTATTCTTGAATAGCCTTTAATTACAACAGTAGTTATCTCGGAGGTCTTAACAAAACCGTTGAATTTGCCAACACAGATCAGAGAATCAAACAGTTCAAACACAAGAAATGCAATGATGAAAAACACATCGAACCATTGGTCTATAAGGAGCAGATCATCAATGTCCATAACCATATCCAGTGTGCATGGTTTTGCACTGGTCCAGACCGGAGCAGAGAGGATTCATGGTCTGAACCAAGTGGATCAGGTGAAAATCCACTGGAGGAATGCTAACTTTTTGACAAATGCTAATGAAGCATTTAGCTTTTTACTTTAGACTAGAGCAGAGAAAATGGTCCAAACCAAACGGCTACTCCACCTCTGATGCTGTGACCCGTCCTGCTCCACCCAGAGGCTACTCCACCTCAGATGCTGTGACCCGTCCTGCTCCACCCAGAGGCTACTACACCTCTGATGCTGCGACCTGAAGGGCTGTTGCTGATTATCACTATAGTTAACTTTTTAGAATGATCAATTTTATGTTTTATTTTTGCTGCTACTGGACTCCTGAATTTCTCCTATGGGGATCAATAAAGTATCTATCTATCTATCCATAAATTTTGATATTGTTGTTAACTTTCTGTTGGTAGAGAACACCGTTTTTCTCTCTAAGATTGCCACAGACTGCCTCAGAGTTCCCTTGGAGTTCTTCAGGGTCACTTGTCTCGCTCACTCATTCATTCATCAAGTGACTTCATGTCCTTGTGTAAATTATGCTTTTACCCTTTCCAACATCAAGCAGGAGTCACCATCAAAAAATAAAAAAATAACACTGTATAGAAAAATAGAAATGCAAATCTTTCATATTATTGTCAGTTTTTTTAGTAAATCGGTGTGATTCTAAAAAATAAGCGTAGACATGAGCAATTACAGCTTTTCATTGTGTATTTTCTATTGTATTTTCCAGGTTTTTATGTAGAATCTGAAAACACTGAATACAAAGAACGGATTTGTTGCGGTAAAATGCCACACAGAGGTCACGATAGTTTGTTATTGCCATTTTTCACATGACTAATACCCATTTGTAGATTTCTTGAGCTCTTCCCTTTCATTACGTGCACATTATACCCCTCACAAAGATTTACAGTTTCTTCTTGCATCATACTGGACATCTGCGCTCTGCTCTCCCCGGGCTGCTCCTCTTCAGCTCCTGATTCTCCACATAAACAAGCCTACATGTTGACCTACAGGAGAGCCGGGCTAACGTATGCTGCAGTCCTGCT